TGTAAGTGGAGTGTGCTGTTAGCACTTATCAATAATATTTCTGAAATATAGCTTTTAAAATAAAATTCATACAAATAAATTATTGATTTAAATGATATTGAATTTAATTTCTTTAAATAAAATTTTGGATTTGAGTTTTATTTATAAAAAAGAAAATATGATTGAAAGACAAGACTTTACTAAAAATAATTAATCAAATTTTTTAACAAAAATTAATCATCCAAAAAATTGACAAATTTTTCATGCAAATAACATAATTAAAAAAAAACAATTTAACTCATGTTTCAAAACATTATTCTCTCTTATATCTCTCATTACAATACCCATAACCTTGTAAGTAAATCCACCCGCTGCAACTGCAACCCTAATATTTAGCTCGAGTAATTGTATATTATATCTATTTTTTCATCTCATTTTTGCCTTGCCTTTCTTTATATATTTCGATTCGTCTTTATTGTATAATTCATCAAATTTATCATATTTTTTTTTCCATCTTCTGTCTTTATTTATTTATTTATTTTTCACCACACGCACTCCTCCAATAAAGATCAGTAATCATTTTCTTTATTTACTAATGATAATACATGACTTTAATCCATGCATCTTTTATAATAAACGGTGTCATTCTATCATTTCACGTACTTATTTTCTTCGAACAACACCAAACACACATTAAAAAATTTGGGGGCCGTGGCCCCACATCCATTCTGAGCTATAGGCCGTTGCCGACAAGAATACTTACCCTATATTTGATTGAGCGGAGAGAATTGGAGACGAGATAAAAAAAAAAAAAAAATCAAATTCCAATTAAAAAATAAAAGAAAATAAAATTTGAACTTTTATCTTTACAAGTCTACTTTTCCCCCCTATTTTCTTTTCATTTTATTTTCAATATTAAACAAAAAAATACATTATACTCCATATTTTTTCTTTTATTTTTATTTTCTCTTACTTACATCTCTTCCAAACATATTGATGGAAATGACTTGGAGAAGTGATGGACGTTCTCCTCTAAGTTTTATCTCCTTTATCTAATCTTCTCTTGAGGTTGAACCTTGAAAATGAAAGCGATGAACCAAGGCATAAAAGAAAGATTCCTTTGTGAAAGTTCTTAAGAGGAGAGTGTTCTCCATGGTTTAAGACTCTTGAGTAGAGAGAAATTTCTAAAAGTTCTGATTTATATAATGTCAAAAGTGAATACAAAGGTTAGGAAAATGTTTATATAGAGTAGGAAAACTTGTAGAGTAAGCTAGGCTATAACTATGGTTCAAGAGAACCATGATGAGCTTAACTTGACCATTCACCATGGTTTGAGAGACTTGTGGAGCAAGCTTCTAACTTAGAAGCTTGGGAAGCAAGCTAAGTTAGAAGCTTGTAGCACAAGCTTCCCAAGTGTGCAAGGCAAGCTACTAATTCGGCCAAAGAAGAAGAATGGGCGGCCTAGCTAGGCTTGTTTCCAACAAGTTCTCCAATCCAAAAATCTTGGAATTGGTTTATTTATGTTCATCAAATGGTGGTGAGACCTAGCTAAATTAATTCCTTGGAAAATATGGAGAAAAACAAGCCTAATATGTAAAATTTGGCTTAGGCCCAATATTGACCCAATTACTAGTTGCACCTACACACATTAATATTTATCACCCTACTTCTACTACTGAAAATATAAATATGGATGACCCTTAATACAAGGTCAAATGGAGCAAAAGTCTCCAAGTAACATACCAAAAATTCTTAAAAGAATATCCTATAATGAAAAAAAGAAAGTACCCCACAAATATAAAGGTCAAATAAACCTATACAATAAACTACTATATACAATTATATGAAAGGTCTTCAAAATTAACCTGTTCTTCTTGGGTCCTTCAATGTATCACCTCTTGATCTTTTTACCCTTAACATAATTTCATCATATATACTTAATGAAAAGTAAAATTAATATCGATAAAATTACAAGATTTAATTTGATTCCATACCTATACCATATGGTATTTTGGTTTTTAATTTTGAGTTAAATATACATTTTTTATGTCTCTTAAATAATTGAACATTAATTTTACTTTTTAAAATATATTTTTATTTCTTTTAAATTTAGAAAAATTATTTTTTAATTATAATGAAAAGAATAAATTTTTATTTTGATCGGTGTAAGAAAAAAAAGTTGGTTCAGGTAAACACTAAAACCTATAACAGCTAATTCATGACATTAATTCATGTGTCCTTATAACAGCTAGCTAGGAAAAACACTAAAACCTATATCAATGAAATTAAAAAGGTTGATTTTTCTTGTTTTAAAAAAGGGTTGAATTTGAATCCATTTCTTATATTGTTCTATTTTGGTTTTAATATATTTTTATATTAATGAGTAATTTTGATTTTAACTTTTAAATTTTTAATCTCGTATCTCTATAAAATTTGAATTTATTGTGTTTGGTTAATGTAAAGCAAAAAAAAAAATCATTTTGGTCTTGTGATTTTATTTTTTAGTATTTCATCACTTTCAAATTTAAAATAATTATTTTTAATTTTAGAATTTATTTAAAATAAAAAATAATTATTATTTTATGAGTTTTTTTTAATGACATCACATTTATGTATTGGATGTTATTTGGTATGATGATCATGTGATCTTCCATCAAACAGATAAGCAGCTAACTAATATCATGAGGGTTAAGAACAAAACTATCGTTTTTATATAGGATGAAAGCCAAACAAAAACTTTTAACTATAACCAAAATCAAAACTATATGTACAACACCTTTAAACTTTTTCACAAATTAAGATTCCTTGACGCTCTAAACTATATGTATAACAATAAACACAATAAATATATATATATATATATATATATATATATATATATCAACATTTAAACATTGTAAATTAAATCATATAATTAATCAATAAAATATATAAATTATATAGTATTGCAAAAAAGATAAATTATTCATTTTCATGAGAACCAACTTGTAACAAAGAAGAGAAAAAAAAAGAGTCTAATAAAAATTGTCGTTGTTTTGTTCCTGAATCGTCTCAAAAAAATTTAACTTGGATAGTTTTTAAGGTTAAAGATCATGGGACATCCTTTTTTCCTATTAAATATGTTTTGATTTGTAACAAGATTTTGAGTTTATTTGTTGTCACAAATTGGCTTAAGCCCTTCAGAAATGACTTAAGTCTTTTTTAGAATACTTCACTTTGAAGAAAATAAAATAATTTAAACCTTTACAATGACTTCAACCTTCTTTTAGATGATTGCAATCTTTAATTTTTTTAAAATCCTTTAAGCTCTTTTAATTTAGAAGCCCATTTTTCTAGAATATGATTTCTCATTTTCTTGAATTGACTTAAGCCCTTCTTATTTAACTTAAGTCTTTTTGAGTTGGTAGAGATAAACTTTTTTTTTTCTATGAATCTTTTCCAACTTTAATTTTTTTCTCTTTTCTCTTTGTTTTGATTTCTCACCTCTTAACCTACAAAAGCAAAATCACTATAATTAACCAAAAATTATTGTAATTTGAATATATTGGATTATATATTATAGTTATATAACTAAATATAATACCTGCATCCTTGGGAAAATTTGTATGGAAAAAAGGGTGAAAGCATGTCATTTTGCATAATACTATTCATAAAATTCAAATAAAAATGACAATTAATGATGCTCTTAGAATTTTTGAAGACACATAAGATTCCTTTTTCTTATTTTAGTAAATTTTATAATTAATTTCAGAGTCCAATCCAATACTCTCTATTTATAGTCTCTCTTTATTTTATTTTTATATTAATTTTCATCATTATTATTTTCGAAACGTTTCTAAATATGTTCAATAAGATCTACTTAAAATCTGGTAAGGAACGGTTGCTTGAGGATGCAACTCTCTCTCTTCTTCAAGCAACTCATGTTGCCACGTCAAAGTCCTCCAATGACAAGAAACTAAGGGGGGTGTATTGGTTTAGGATTTCGTAGGATTTTAAAAGACTTTTTTTGAGTAAAAAAGTCCATTGGTATTCAATCAGGATTTTATGTCACTTAAAAACAATCCAGTGGTATTCAATCTAGATTTTCAAGATTTTTTAAAGAGTCCATTAAAATCCACTGGTATTCATTTGAGATTTTTTACAACTTAAAAACAATCCATTGGTATTCAAAAATTTAAGGATTTTAAAGGATTGTTGTGTGAGAGGGATTTTGAAAGACTTTCTAGTGTTATCTATAAATACCAGATTCATAAAACAATCCCATCCAAACCCATCGGATTTTGAAGGATTGTTTGAAATGATTTTTCAAGTGTTTTAAGAATTTTCAAGTGAGTTTTTTCTCTTTTTTTTCTATGCTCCTGTCTTCTCCATTTTTTCTCTACTAATAATACTACACTATTGTTCATTGCTCATATATAATATTGTAGTACTGTTCTCATCCCATTCCCCTATTTTGTGAAACTCTGATATGTAAATGATAGTGTCATTGACTTGCTCTATTTTTCTGTTCGTTCTCTTTAATTGACTTGCTTTATTTTATTCTATGTAGTTGAATTTGTTCTTTTATATAACAAAAAAAAATGCTTGAAATTTCAACTTTTAAGTGGTAATTTTTTTTATAACACACGTCAAGAAAAGAAAAAGGTGAAAGATGAAATTGATATCATAATCTCTACAATATATATATATATATATATATATAAGATGAATTTGTTAGGGTTTCTGTGAGTAGAATGAGATGAAAATGGATCTTAGTTTGGGGAAGAACCCTCTCAGCATAAAAACTGCGAACTCTCTCCTTCCCTTGAATTTGTTACTCTTATCCCTCCTCCTTTTATGACTCAACAATTATTTTATTTTTTTTACTATGAATTTTTCTTTTTATTTTTATATTATGAAATTAAGATTTTTTTATATTTTAAAAAAATAAAATTAACATAAGACATTGCAGTATCTAATTTTTTAGGGTTTAGGATTTATGCCTTCATTAGCTTATTTAAAAAAAAAAGAAATATTTTAAAATATTTGTTAGAATAATTTACATTTAAAAATATCGTTAAAAATTATCATATAATATATAACTAAAATAATATATATATATATATATTCTCTATATCTAAATACTTCCGTTTATATAAAAAAAATTATATATCTAAATATTTTCTCAGTATCGAATATACTGATTTTTTTTATATAAAAAATTCTTATGTTTTTATATTTCCGTTTTTATATGTTTTTTTTTATAATGACTGAGGTATTTGATCCATTTGGATAACCAAGATATATTCGATCTTGTATGATTAGTGTGCTTCTAAAAATAATAATATAATTTTATTGATTTTGTCTCTTATCCATAATTATTTATATAACTAGTTTTCAACATATATTATTTTAGTAATTCAAATGGGAGATTCACAATGAAATAATAAAGAAAAAGGAAAAGAGAAAGAAAACTATGAAGCTTGGACCAAGGAAGATTCCGATGAATTGTTACAATTGATAGTGATATAAAAAGAGGATAAAATATTATGGAGAACTATTATTATTATTTATCTAGACATTATTGTTTTTTTTTATTATTTTTGTCTTTGACTCTTTTTAAATTTGAATGTATGAATTTTTTTTAAATCTTATCAAATGTCAAAACTCCACAAAATCCCACGGAATCCATTAAAATCTTAATTTAAAAGTCTTGCAGAATCCATTAAAATCCTGATTTTAAGTCTTGTAGAATCCTGCAAAATCTTAAAAGTCATGAAAATCCTGCAAAGTCTTTTAAAATCCGCAAGATTTTTTTTAACTAAAAAAATCCTTTAAAATCCTAATCCAATACACCCCCCTAAGTTCATAATGTATTTTTTTATTAAAACAACTTATTTTATTTTATTACTGAAAGTCTAAGATGCTACAATTACAATGTATAGTTTAGTCAAACTAAAAATATTCATAGGAAGTTCGTCAAATATTTTTCAATAAATATAATAAATTTTTCTAAAAAAAACTAATTTTAAAATTTGTTAACATGTTTGGATAAGCCTTTTAAAAAACTAAAATTGAAAAAAAAATTAACACTTTTTCATACAATTTTAACAATTTAACCTGTGCAATATAAAAAGATAAATTCTTTGAATATATAAATTATGTTATAACTAAAATCATAATAAATAAATATTTTTGAACATATATATAAATTATATTTTAGATTTATAATAAATAATTTAAAAAAATTATTGATGATTTAAAAAATATTAAATTTCAATATAAAATTAAAAAAAGAATAATAAAATAGATGAAATACTGATATTTTTTTTTAAAAAAATATTTATTAAAAAATTAACTAAAAATACTCTCATCAATTAATAATACCTAACTATTTTAATTTATATATACGATAGATGTGAAAATCACTTTTTTTACACTTTATATTCATGCATTCTAATTTATATATAAATATTTTCAACTTTATTCTTGACATTTCAGCTAAGTCTTTGTCTCCATTCTTGACATTTCAGCTCCAAGTTACGACAGTGGAACTGGGAGGACAGATATCGATGTTACAAGTAAAGCAAAGCCGGTCATAATAATAGGTAAGTATGAAGTTTTTAATATGATAGTTATGTGTGTGTTTTAATATGATAGTGTGAGTAAATCAAAATTTACTACTCAAAAAAATATCTTGAAAGATTTTTTATTTCTCTTTCATTTAATTTAAATTTAAATAATACGGAATATATACATTCATACACACATAATTAAAAATGATAACAAGTATGTTACTATAATATCGTTTCTCACACCCTCGGTTGAAAAAAGTATCCATACCCATCTTATATCTATATTGATAATAACTTTAATCTCTATTTTCATCCTCCCTAGATACTTATATACTTAAACTTCCACCCACTACCTCCATTAGGGTAAAAATTGTTACAATTAAATTAATATATAATTCACTCTTAAGTTATCCAAAACATAACTTAAACCATTCAAATATAACTTATAATTAAACAATATTAGAAATATAAAGTTTTAAATATATATATAATCATTTAACATCATTAGTAAGAGCGGAAACATTTGTTAGATAGGCTAGACTTTGACAGACTTAAGTGTAATCAATCTTATTTATTTATTATAAACTTTTTTTTTTAATATTTGACTTGACTTGTTTAAAAGTCTGCATAGCCTAAAAGTCTATTTATGTAACTTACAATACTTATAAAAAGACATGTATGTCTGAATAGATCAACAAACCTTTTTCATCACCTAATTAAATTATTCATCTTTTGTATACATTGTTGTACGAAGGTTCAAAGATAGGGTTTCTAGTATACAATTGCAACTTCCCTCTACTAGGTCGACTTAACAGTTCTATTCATTCTTTGTAAAGGCTAATAATAATAATAATGTTAAAAATTAACAAGTTATTATATTTTTTTTTTTGAAAAAAAGACTATGATCCACTCTATAAATTCAAATTTCAAATTTATTAATGAAGGTCATAGATGTCAAATATAATAGAGAAATTTTAGAAATTTATAATCACTGGTCAAAATAGTCATTGTCTCGTAACTAAAAAATACAAAATGTAAGACAATACAAATCTATGCATGTGAAAAAAGACAATACAAATCTATACAAAATTTATATTAGTAACACTTTTAAAATTCTATATTAAATTATTTTTGTTAAAAATCTTATTATTAGTAATAATATATATTAAACATAAATATTATTACACATATTATATATTCATCTCATCATATCATGAGATATTATGCAAATATTTATATATTAAGTTTAAATATTCTTTTGGTGTAATAACATCTAAAGAAATTAAAACATGATAAAGACTAATGATTAAATTGTGTAATATAATAATTAAAAATATTAATAAAAGATACAAAAACTCTAGCTGAATAAATAAAGGTGTAAGATGGTGAGATGCGTAGTATAGTAGTAGCCACCCCATTGAATTTTGTGGCTAAATCCCTACCTAGTCCCCACTTCCATTATGCGAATTTTTACACTTCCCATTGAGGACATTATTTGCCCTATAGGAAGATAATGAGTAGGGTCTAGACATATATAGTTTTATAGTATTCTCATTCTCATATTTAAAAATAATATTTGTACCCAGATTTATACTTATGCAAATAACAATTTTAATTTTCATCCTCATACCTATTGGGTATCTGTGTATTCATACCTGTGTATTCATATCTGCACTCGGACACACATTTAATTTATGAATAAAGTAAAAAAATTAATAAAGAGATAATATTTCATACAAACAAACATAATATTAATTTGTCAAATCTTTAACATTATAACATCTAACAGAACACTTCTTATGAATAAAAATTATAAAACATTCAATCCTTGTAAATAAACCTTAAAAAAAATTCAACATAATAAAGTTGTAATTAAATTTCCAATATCTTGATCATGTGTTAATAGTATTCTCTAAGACATGTGAAAAAAATTATACAGAAACTAGTTAGATTAAAATTATAGATCAAATTATATACTATAAATTAAAAAAAAAACAAATATGTAGACATTTGACCTCATTATCGAAATCAACTTCTCCATATTTTTGCAAACGTTTGTCTTCTAAGTCTATATAATGTTTTGATCTAGTAATACTAATAGAAATTATATGACAAAAAAATGAGTTATTAAATAATTTAAATTAATAATTAAACCAACAATAAAAAATAAAATAACTTTTATTAAATAAATATAGTTTAATTATTTATTATCATGTTACTTGTGTTTCAACTAACTTGGTGCACATATAAGTGACTCTAGAGTAAATTTAAGAAGCCTAGAACGATGAGGATTCAAAACTCTACCTTTTATGCTAAATGTAGATTCTAAAACTACCACTACAAAAAAAATGATGAATTGAGATTGACAAATTGCGACAGTTATATTAATTTGTATGTAAGGGAGTGAAATTGAAAAATTAATCCAGCCGTGAATAGAAATATTATTGTTGCGCGCAACCCTTCTTCCTCAGCCACGCCTGGCCAACACATGCAACCCCTTCTTCTCTTTCTTTCTCAGCCACGCACCACTTCTTCTCATTCTTCCTCACCTACGCACAACTCCTTCTTCTCATTCTTTCTCAGTCACGAGCATGTTTAGGACTTGGATCATCTCAAACAGAAAACGCAATGCACGATATGGTTCCCTTTTCCACTAAAATCCTTATCTATCAAATTTATTTATTTTTCTCTTGAGAAATTTATCTCTTTTATCATACTTCATATTTTATTTTACTTCCACTAAAAATATTATGATATAACTAGATAAGATTTTAAATTAGTATTTTATTAATGGTTGATAATTAGAAAATAAAACAAGGATAAATACATTTTTTGAATTTTATATCTTAGATTTAAGATGAATAAATAAATAAATTTAATTAATAATTTATTTAAAACGTTAAAATTTAATTTATAAAAATAATATTTTACAATAGAAAGGTTATAATAACACCGGTGTAACTTTTACTAAGTATTACACCGCTCAATAACTTTATATTAAATTTGAATTTTATAAATTCAACTGTTAGATTGAAATTTTTTTACTCTTAGATCATATAAATAAAATTTTATATTAATTCAAGATAATTTGATACTTCATTCTTGTAAAACAAAATTGACGTAATATATACATTTCAAAATATATATACTAAAATATGAACACTTTGATTACCTTCAAGTTGTTTAATTTTAACAGAATTTGATATAAACATATAAAGTGATATGAACTTTCAATCCAGCGGTTGGATTTACAAAATTCACATTTAATATAAAATTATTGAGTGATGTAATACTTAGTAAAAGTTACACCGGTGTTATTATAACCTTTCTCATTTTAAAATATATAAATTATTTAAACTTTTAAATTTATAATAAATAATTTAAATTGTATCATAATATTAATTTTAAATAGAATTAAGTAGATTTGTTAATTATAAAAGTAAGTATATATAAAAATAAATATTAATTAAATATAATATAATTATTATTAGTAATATAATTATTATATATTTATAACGGTTCAGACACACCGGAATGAGAGGGATATAAATATAGTATAAGTATGAGATTGAATAGTTGAGAATGACTTAAATGAATTAATTTATACTATTTATACTGACAACATGTATCTGCTTTTTGATAGTTTATCTCATAAGAACTTCACAGTTAAGTGTATTTGACTTGGAGTAATATAGGAATGGGTGATCTTTTGAGAAGTTCCCAAAAATTATGTAAGTAAAGATAAAACATGCTAAAAAGTGAAGTATTGTGAAATAGAATCCTTGAGAAGAATAACTCTCAAATTTGAGATGTTTATAAAATTTAATAAAATAAAAAATAAATATTTAGTGACTAATTTAGAGACTAGATTAGTGCTCTAATTAAAATGGTTTATTCATCATAGATTAGAGGCAGTTAGTGTGTCAGGTGCTTTAAGGGTTGCAATTCCAATTTTGCGACAATTTGTGCAACGGTTCTAGCTAGTAACCGTTGCAAAATTTACTCGTGATGGACATTTCTGTGATAGTTGGTGAACTGTCGCAATAGTGTCTTTGCGGCAGTTCTAACCGTCACAATGTAGGCCATATAACTGTTGTAAAATCGTCATTTTCTTGTACTGTACGATTGAATGTCTGCATTTAACTAATAAGTGCCTCAAGAATAAATTTATGACCTTAACTAATAATTCCTTAACAAGTGAGGTAATCACGCACAAACACACCAATTTGTTGAAAGTTCTTGACAAATTAAACTACCAGTATTCTTTGAATAATACAACACAACTGATTCATACATTATCTAGTTATATTCCATTACCGTAGATGAAGTTGGAACAAAAAACTTTCCAAAATAAAATAAAATATTTTTTTATCAGTCAATAAAATAAAACATGTGAGAATAGTTAGGAACCTTTAAATCTAACAATTAGGAACCTTTAAATCTAACAATTAAATCTAACATGAAGTTACAACTGGCAAATCTTCCAATAATTAGCGGCCCCAACATCGTGATGACGTAGGGACGCAAGGCCACGAGGCAGCGACACGAGATAGTGATGCAGAGTAAAGAGGCTGCAACACAAGGTAGTGATGCAAGGTAGAGATGTGAGCGATGAGGCAAGGTGGAGACACAAGCAAAGATGTGAGCAACGACGTGAGGTAAAGACGCAAGTAAAGATGTAAGCAGCGACACGAGGTGGAGATGTAATGGATGGTGCAAGCGACAACGTGAAGAGGAGACACGAGTGACAATGATGCAAGATGGGATGTGAGGCAGATGACAGAGATGGTAAGAAAAAAAAACGACGCTAAATAGGATTTTAGTTATAATATCATAATATAATTTAAATAAATAAATTATTATTATTAAGTAATTATATTATTATATTAATATATATATATATATATATATATATATATATATATAACTATGAAACGAGGTGGATTGGATATTACAATACTCATACTTACATCCATATCCACTAAATTTTGTGGGTTTATACTCGTCCCATACCTATTCCCACAGAAGTGGGTGTTTATCTGCCCGCATGCGGGTAGTTTTGCAAGTGCTCGTAGAGTTCAAGTCTATTTTGTCATTCCTATAAATAATGAAGAGGGTTGCCTACAACCTTTATGCACCTTATGCTTTTGGGTGGGATGCAAGTGTATTATCTCAAAAATATTTCGAGAGGCCTACCTATTGTATAATGCTCAAGTTAGCAACTTGTATTTGTATTTGAGGGTTGTCAAATGTTTGCCAAATCAGGAGATTTAATACAAGGATCAACGTTATTAATATACGAATTGAATGTCATAACGCAACACCAATTATTTTGAGACTTTAGGGCAAAAATTACAAAAATCATGGAATCATAAATGCAATATCATAAATGCTTTCTTTTATAGCAACGTGACAATAGTAATCATTGAGATAAACTAAAGGTTATCATGTGTGCACATTGTCAATGGTGTAGAGGTTCTTGAAGATTTAAGACTCTTTTTCGCTTTAAACATTATTAGATGTAGTATTTCCTTGTCATTATTCAAATTATGTTTCGTGGGATCATGTGTGACTAATAAATTATACGTAGGATCCATATCTCAAACTTCAACATCAAAATGATAATTAAAAAACACTACTAGAAAAAAGCCATTTTTCTTGCAAATTTTCCTGTAAAAAAATATTTGTAGAAATTTTTTGCGAATTTTCTTGCAAAAAAAATATTCGCAGAAATTTTTTGCGAATTTTCCTGCAAAAAAATATTTGCAGAAATTTTTTGCGAAAAATAATTTACAGATATTTCTTACAAGTTTTGCTACAATTTTAATAATTATAGAAATTTTTTTTCATGGTAAAAATTTGCAGAAAATATTGTAAGAATTTTGTTTTGTTTCTTGCAGATTTTCTTGCAAAAATAAATTCGCAAGTAATGTTTACTAAATGGTAAAAAAATTTTGCAAGTAACTTTTATTGCGGATTTTCCTGCAAATTTTAATCTGCAGGAAAAATAAAAAAATATATATTTAAATTTATAAGTTTAATATTTTTAAAAAACTTCAAGTCTCACATCGATTGAAAATAAAACAATTAAAGAGTATATAAGTTGGGGCAACACTTACCTTATAAGTTGATTTATATGGTTGAGTGTTAGGCTTATATAATCTACAATCTTAGGATTTAAAAGATTATGTATCACATGTTGGAGACATGGAAACAAATGCTTCGGATGAATTCATTGTGAGCATTTGAAAGTTGAAAAATTACTGATAGAATTTATAGTACTTTTTTTTAATTTTTTCGTAAAAAATATTCCTGCAAAATTTCTTGCGAAAAAATTCGCAGGAAAATTTCCTGCGATTTTTTTTTGCAGAAAACTTTCTTGCAATTTTTTTTTTGCAGTAAACTTTCTTGCAAATTTTTTTTGCAAGAAATTTCGCAGGAAAATTCCCTGCAAATTTTAAAATTCGCAAAAAAATATTATCCACGAAGATATTACCTACAGATAAAATTTCGCAGGAAAATTTGCAGAACAACGTTTCCTGCGAATTTTTTATGAAAAATTTGCAGAAAAAATACCATGTAATAAGAGAAATTCTAATAGTGAAATACAATGTTCATAACATCTGAACACAAACCGAGATAGGGAATGTTATTTTTATGAATGGTGTTCATGCAAATCATTTTATGTTCCTAAAAATTGAGAACTCTTGAGTTTGTAAATCATAAACATGCCACCCATTATAGTAGTGAGGATAGTTGACAAGGATATATTATTTGGCTGGTGGTTGAAACTTTTCACTTCACTTGGTCGGTATTTTTACATAACAAAAGCACCTAACCATTATAAAATGATCACATGATAGTGGTTTCCCATAGAGCATCGTGTATAGTGTAACTTCTCCATTTGCTAATTGAGGTGAAAATGAAGTGTATAATTGTCAAAACATACTCCCCAGACAGATATAGGAAGATTATCTTCAAATTTGAATGCATATCTTACATTAAGAATATGTCAAAGTTTTTCTTCGATGGGAATTTTGTTATGACATTATTATGCAAAAGGTTTCATGCAAATTATATTCCTTCTTGGTGGGAAAATAATTGAATATTTCAATTAACAAAATTGGCACCATATTATCATTTAGGCCAATTTTTACCTGAACATCAATTTATATTTGCAGCATTTTATAGAAGTCCATGAAATAAATTTAATATTTATATATATTTGTATCTCTCAATAAATAAATCCATACGAATCACACATAATTATCAACAATGGTGAGAAAATAATTAATGTGATTCATTATATGAAATGATGTTTTATCTAGCCCATACTCACACTGGAGTAATTAAACAAAAACTTTGTTTGCTTTATTTTACTTAAAAAAAAATGAAGCCTACAATGCTTGGAAATAAGACATATGCATCAACATTCAATTTATTGATATTATAACAAAAATTAAGAAAAGTTGAAAGCTTGCTGAATAGTGTTTGAACATATAGTTGTCTCATCCTTATATGTTATAGAACAATCACATTACTAAAGATTGTTGTCAAAGATATTGTAATTCTTTCCAAAGTATGTAAGCCTTATCATATCAAGCAAGCCGCCAGATTCAATAGTTTACTTTGTAGTTTGATCACGTACGACACATCCATCCCTAAAATAAGTTACCTAGATATGAAAATTATTAGCCAATTTTTAAATGAATATTAAATTGCAACTGAGTTGAGAGACCAAAAAAAAAAACATTAAGAAACTTCATGTTGATGCTAAGATTCATAATTACCATATTATTAACCATAAAAATGTCTATAATAGACGCATTGATATGAAAAGGATCACTAAGATTCTATATATAGTTCCTCGAAAGTAAAATATAGCAAGGCAGTGCAATGTTAGGCTTCACTATCTAAGACCAAATTGTGTATACTATAGATTAATTAATAAATTGTATACAATTATATACAATTTTATTTAATATATAACTACAAATAATATATTTATTTAATATATAACTACATACAATTTTAATGTTAATTTTGAATGAGATTTAACAATATATATTATGTGTCATTAGTATATATTTATACCTTTTACAATATGCCAACATATATTATATTTATAGTATAAATAAAAAAATTAGTGATAATATTATGTCACTATATAACAATTTTTTTTGTAATGTTAATTATATGATCATATATATATGTTGATCATTACCTTTATTCCATACAAACGGATAAATACATGGATATTGGAATCTCCTTAAGTGTTGTTGCTATTGAAGATGTGTGTTTCTTCTCTAGACCTTTTTATTTTTCTAATCATTGGAGTCATGACATTGAAGGAGTTTCGTTTTCTTCTCCTGCAATAGCACCAAACACTCAAGGGAATTCAATTTTCCCTCTTGATTAAGTGAGAGAAAATTTATTATGAGAGATGAAAGATGAGAGAGTTAAAATATAACTCTTAGATTAATTTCCTGATTAAATTCTAAATTTTCTCTCACTTGATTAATCTATGGGTTATATTTTAACTCTCTCATCTCTCATAATAAATTCTCTCTCACTTAATATGCTCCTTAATCTATGGGTTATATATGTGATTTTCAAGATGAATGAGCTATATAACAACATTTTGTTGTATATCCTGCTAACAACTAACATAAGATAGTAACAAATGTGAATTTGAATACAAAACCATAATGCATATAATGTCCTAATCCCATTACAAGAACAACTAGATCATAACAAAAACATTGGATACAATTTCATACATGACTTTATCTTTTATAATCTTCTAACTCAAATTTCATATATTTTTTTAAGAAAGTAAAATATCAATATCTATCATACCAATTTGTTTAAAGAAATATATATGACACCCAAATGTATTTCAACCATTTAAAATCAAATAGTTGAAATATAAAATTTTACTTAGACAAATATAAAATTTAGTTGGACAGATTCTAACTAAATGTGAATCCTAATCAAATATAAAATTTTAGGTGAATTATAAATAAATTTAAAATCACAAAAATAATTAAACATCTCTTAAATAAGAGAAAAAATTGAAGTTCTAAAATCCTTCGGTCTTTTTATTCATTTTATAACATAATCCTACTTATAGTAATAAGAAATTCATCATCGAATTTGATGTAAGATACTGTACAAAATAAAAAAAATAAAAACTAAAGAAGATTAATTTTTTTGTACATTTTGTGAATTTTTCATATGTGGTAGAAAAAAATTAAATAACCAACATACTTAGTGTCTTATAATATATAATCTAAATCTTTTATATACGTGCTTAATTAAGTTCTTTGACAAGAAAAAAGTTTCAGTCATCTTTTAGCATGTTTGGCTACTGATTGAGTTCCACATTCACACCTCAATTAGTACTGTATATTATGTTATCATCCCAATTTATATTTTTTCTAAACGATCTTTATCAAGTACAAGGGCTATTTCCCCCCTTTTTTTAGTGACCATTATGTGTTTATTAAAAATTGTTAAAAGAAAAGTTGCACATTTCACTATATTCCCTACTATTATTGCCTTATGAATCTACATCTGAGTACATATAAATTTTTAAGACTGTTTTATAACCTCTATTTTGCGTGTTAGTTTAACCTAATTAGTTATAACCCGCACGCAGTTGAATTTAAATAGACTTATTTTTATGTATTTTTGTGCTAAATATGTAGGAGTTTCTGCAAGTCTTGGATCCATCATTTTACTCATTGTTTTATGGCGGTTGTATAAAGTTGTAAGAAAAAAAATAGTGAAGAAACGCAAAGAAAGATTCTTCAAGCGAAATGGAGGACTATTGTTGGAACAAAGATTGTCTTCTGGTGAAGTTAATGTAGATAAAGTTAAACTCTTTAGCTTAAAGGATTTAACGAAGGCCACCGATCACTTTAATGTAAGTAGAGTACTTGGAAAGGGAGGCCAAGGTACTGTTTACAAAGGCATGTTAACAGATGGAAAAATTATTGCAGTCAAAAAATTTAAACTCCAAGGAAATGTTGAAGAGTTCATCAATGAATTTGTCATTCTTTCACAAATTAACCATAGAAATGTGGTTAAGTTGTTAGGAAGTTGTTTGGAGACTGAAATTCCTTTGCTTGTTTATGAATTTATTCCTAATGGCAACCTTTTTGAGTATTTGCATGAACAAAATGAGGACTTATCAGTGACATGGGATATGCGTTTAAGAATTGCTGCTGAAGTTGCAGGAGCTTTGTTTTACTTACACTCGGTTGCTTCTCAACCTATTTATCACAGAGACATCAAGTCAACAAATATACTATTGGATGAAAAGTATAGGGCAAAAGTAGCAGACTTTGGCACATCAAGAATGGTTTCCATTGAAGCTACTCACCTCACTACAGTGGTTCAAGGAACTTTTGGATACTTAGATCCTGAATATTTCCATACTAGTCAATTTACAGAGAAGAGTGATGTTTATAGCTTTGGAGTGGTTCTTGTTGAACTCTTGTCAGGACAAAGGCCAATATCCTCCCTAAGACCTGGGGAAGCTAAAAGTTTAGCTTCATATTTCATTCTTTGTATAGAGGAAGATCGTCTATTTGATGTTATTGATGAAAGAGTCATAAAAGAGGGGAAGAAAGAACATATCATTGCAGTTGCTAATCTTGCAAGCAGATGTTTAGAGTTGAATGGGAAGAAACGGCCAACTATGAAGGATGTCACATTGGAATTAGAAGGTATCCGAAAATTTGTAAGTACATCTAATACACAAGAAGTACATGCTGAACTTGATCTTGTTCGATTTGAAGACTATCAATCTTGGGATAAGTATTCTACTACCCTAAATACAGGTTCAACTCAAGATCTACATAGTGGAACATCAACCTTGGAGGATATTCATATTCTTACTATATAATTGGTTAAGTAATTTCTTATGTGTAAAATAAAACTATTTTGGTTAGAACATATTGAACTATGTAACCATTTAAAATAATAATTGTTGCGAGTGTAATCATGACCATGACACAATTAAAAATTGACTAATACGATGGTTGATCCTCATTATAATTTCTTAAAATAAAAAGATTTTAGTTTTTTTTTTTACAATTTACAAAATCATTTATGGGAATATAAGCTTAATAATGTAAGATCGATTCTTATTTGTTAAAATTAATATATATATAAATATCTTAGATTATCTTTTAACATCAGTTTCCATATTTAGTTACACCACATTTCTTTACCTTATCATTTGTTTATCTAATTAGTTAGAATATTTTATAAACACAATTACGAATCTAATTACAAGTTTGGATAACACATTTACTTTATAATTTGTTTCTTCTTAAAACATGAATGCATTTACTTTTCCAAAGTAAAAATTAGGTCAAAAATTATAATTCTTTAAAAAATTCATTCTTCTTTCCTACCTCATTTTACTTTTTATTGATCAAACAAATACTTAAAAAAAATTATCATTAAACACCTCAAATTTTGCTTTATATTAAAAATTATTAATTCAAGTAATTTGACACTTCTTTAATTAAGGATCATATTCAATATTTATCTTGAGCGTAGACTAACAACAGGAGATACTATTTTATTCCTGTAGGAACTTACCAAATAGAAATGAGTTATACACCTCATTATCAAAGAAAAAAAATACACAATGAATTTTTACATATTCATTATATGCAAACATTATAACAAGTATCTCTAGATCATGGATTTGGTTGTTCGCTTCATGAGACCTTAATGCATAAACAACTACTTTTCTTTCTTGCATCAAGACACATCTCAATCCTTATCCTAAACTGTTGTAGTATAGTTTAAACTTTCTTGTTGGACCAAAAAAAGTAATACCCTAGTTTTCATTTAATAAAATAAATAAAGTTTTTCATAAATAAAATAAATAGAAGTTTTAATTAAATAAAATTAAATGAAGGCTTTGAGAAATTGGATTTTATGATTAAAAAAAAGGTTTTTTAAGAAGATAATGAGTTAAGATGTGGCAAATGATTACCACACCCCCTATCCATAGTTTTAAAAACCGGACCGGTCATCGAACCGGTTAAGGTACTGGGTCAGTGGGTCAAAGGTTGAACCGGTGGGTCACTAGTTGAACCGCATGACTCGATTTTTATTTATTTTTATTAAAAAAATATTCATATTAAATATATTTTATACTTATAAAATTTAATAAATTCATATCTTATTTTAAATTTCAATTTTTCTATCTTATTTAAAATTATTTTTATTTTTATTTTGTAAAAAAATACATAAAAAAATTACATGTTAAACGGTATATTAATACAAATTAAAAATATAAATAATATGTACATATATAATATGCTTGCAATTAATATCACAAAATAATATATGTAATATTTACATAGATATTGCATTATTAAATATATAATTTAAAATTAATAATATACTATAAAAGTTATTTAAGTTGTATATATTGCAAACAAATATATTAGAATAAGTAGTCATTGTTATATTTAATAAGACTCCTTGCTTTTTCATTAAGAGATTCAATTTTCATTATTATTTTTGTGATTTATGGTCCCTTAAAAAAAATTTAAAAAAAAAAAAAGTGGTTGAACCGGTTTGACCCACCGGTTCACCATTAAACCGGAAAATTGACCAGTTCAATCCGGTTTGAAACGGGTCGACTGCATAACCGATCCAAGTTTAGATCCGGACCGGCTGGACCACCGGTTCCCGGTCCAACCGGTCCGACCGGCCGGGTCGGTCCGGGTTTTAAAACACTACCCCTATCTAAAAAATATGCCTCATTTTTTTTTATATCTTTTTACAAGGATTCGGCGCCTCCACTTGATGCTTTACGCCCACGCTTCGTTCAGGCAAAGCAGTGCTACTTCCAGGATTTTTTTCGGCCAAGCTCGGGAACCTTCCCTTTAGTGAAAGGCTCTATCCCGGGACGAAGAGAAAGAGAGGGGGAAGGCCAAGTACGAGATCACAGGGATCGGGCTGGAGCTTGACAAGAGCGATACAGGAAACCATACAATCGAAGGCTAGCAAGAAGAAGCAAAAAGATAGTAAAAGCTCAAGGGATTCATCACGAAGGCAAGTGCTCCAGCGGAAGCTATCAATTCAAAGGGAAGACCGGGTAGTGGTAGTTAACCGGGGGAGGGAGCAGCTCATCCGTCAGGATGGGATCCCTCTACTTCACGTTTTTGGCTTATCTTTTCTTTTTCTGTTGTAAATGTAAACCGTTAGGATCTTCTCGCCGTAACCAGTAATAGGCTTATCTGCCGTTTCATTCGCATTATCGTGAATAAAATCATCATCTTAGGGAATGCCTTGAGCGAGCCGAGTGCGTATCCCCTGAGTACGATGCCCTAGATCCAGCAATAAAATCAAAAATTATCTTTTTTATCTACCTCATCTTCCTTTACTCCTTTTTCTTCCGGTATTCTATCGATCTCTAACCACTCTCTATTAATTTTTCTTTTTTTATCTTTTTTTTCTTGCTGATTTTTTCTCTCCAATAATCAAGAAACTTATCACTCATCTCTATTATTTTTTAAATCCTATTTTTTTTATTCCATCATTTTTAAACCTTACTTTTTCACCACATATTCAATAATTAACATATTGATACAAAATTGTGATTTTTTTAAGGCGTCGTTTAAAAATATGATTTTTTGATTTTATGATGATGATTGATTAATAACTATTTTTCTTATTATTACTGAAAATTAATTTCTTGAATTGTGTTTTATATGATTCTTAAAATATACTCATGGAAAGTACTCTCTAGAAGAGTAAAAGTACTTTTAGAAAGTACTTTTTAAAAGGGTAAAATTGAAGGCTATTTGAAAAGGGAGAAAAAAAAAGACACTACGAGATATATCATTAATAAATGGAAGTGCATTCAAGAAAAGCCTAAGATGTAAAAATTGTTTTTCTAGCTATTGAGTTTTGATCCTCACAAGTCCAATGAATTTTTTTTTAATAAATAGTAGCTTGTTAGCTTTAAGCCTAATTTAATTACTATCTTGCTTTATGTTGTGCCGTCTTGGAACCTTATCATAAAGTTGTGAACATAAAGAAGAATCTTGAGGGAGTCTTGTTATCACTTCTTGTATTGTATCTCTTCTTGAATCTTACTTATTAAGGTAAAGAGGAATGAGTTGTCTTACTCATATATATAATATGGATTATAAGTAGAAGGGTTGGCCCTAGACCCCGTAGGTTTTGCTTGTACGTTCTTGGAAGGGTTATGAATAACTTGGATCATATTTCTTCATGACTTGCTAATTGTATTTTTCCTTGAGCTGCCTTCATTAATTGATTTGGAATGACATTGTTGTTGTTTAGCTTGATTTCTAATAATTTGGATTAACATTGTTGCATTCATTATTGAATAATTGAATGTTGAGTGTGTTGGAGGTTTAGGTTTTGATCCTAAAGGGATAAATTGGGGGTATGTGTTGGAACCCTTAAAACCATAAAATCAATTAAAACGAATAAGGTAAAAGATTATAACATAATTGGATTAGGATTAAGTTGAAATCCCTAGATTAGGCTCATAATTCATAACCTAGTGTGACAAAATAGTGTGAGACCTTTGATAGGAGAATTTCTTTTACAAATTTTGTAGAAGCAGAGTCTATCATGACATACTGAGCACAAGATTCATTGTGGTGAGCACATTAAGCCCTAAGAGCTTTTAGCTCCTTGCCTCAAGATCATTACATACCCAAGAGACGACATTGAGTGTCAATGTCCTTGGAGTGTTTTCTTGTTTGGATGCTAAGCTCCCACGAGAGTGCTAAGTGCCAATTTATGCTAAAAAGTTACATAAACTCGCATTAAGCATGACCTCAATCACACTAAGCACAAGAGGCTACAAAAATAGAGGTTGTTTTTATGTGGCTAAGACATTAAATGCATGGTTGTTTGTGTTGAGTGTGTAGAGAGAATTATTTGTTATGTTACTAGTATGGTGCCGAGCATTAGGGTTGAATTGCTAAGCATGTGTCCCTTATTTTGATGTGTTGGATATATTATGATTTTACCTATTGTTATGAATTGCTTGACTATATTCATATTATGATATTGACAAATGAGAATGTTGGGACAAAGATGATGTGCATACCATGGTAATGAAAATGTTTTTAAGAAAATGCTAAGATAACCTAAAGAGGGAGGTGTCTCCTATGTTTTGTTATGAAGTTCATAGGTGTCGATTGTGAACATGTATCATTGCATTATAAACTATGTTTTCAAAGAGAAAGTTCCTAATGTATTTGGTTGGTGGATCTCATTAAGAGAGGTCGTTCTCTCTAAACTTTGGGAGAGATTACATCTAGTGGGGAAATCAAATGAATCATATTAATCATGTGGTTATGCACTAGACATATCAAATATAGTTGGATGACACTAACAACTCACCAAGGGGATAACATACTATGTTGAGGGTGTATTAAACAATCATTAGCATGTTTGGGTGATACATTTTGCATTCACTCCTAGTCCATTTTTGCAAATGATTTTGAAACAATACCACATGTATATGTGATAAAGGTCTAGGATGCATTACATTATATCGTATGTGTATTTGATATTGATTTTGATATGCTTCAATGCCTTATGGATTTGTGTGTGTGAGTTATACTCATAACTTTGCAATATCTTGAATTTATGTGGGATGTATCTCACCTTATTAGTATTGTTAATGTTTGGGCTAATTGTCATATGTAGGTGGTGAATTTAGTTGAGGATGTTGATGATGTGGATGTAGAGGATGCTTATGACTCTTAGTTCACCTTATACTTTGGGATATGTTCTAATAGGATGTAACATCGAGGTGTTTGTTTGGGACATTTATGTTTATCTTTTAAGAGATATATTTATGATTTGTTTATTTTTAGGATTCTAGATTCAATTTTTGTAATGGTCTGCGTTCTAAATGTTTTCTTTAATTCAATTGAAGACTTTTAATTTTAGTTTTCAAGTTTAAGTTTGGGTGTGATGCTCTTTACTCACAAAAGTTTTTCTTAA